ACTAATCTGGGGGTGATAATGGACCCGTCCTTAAAACTCAACAGTCACGTAAACATGATGGTCAAATCCTGTTTTTTTCAGATGAGACGGCTGTCTAAGCTGAAGCCTATACTCTCCAAAAAGAACCTTGAGACAGTGATCCACGCCTTCATAACATCTAGGCTTGATTACTGCAATTCACTTCTGTTTGAAATCAGTCAGTCCTCCATTGCACGTCTACAACTGGTCCAAAATGATGCAGCCCGATTTTTAACTGGTACAGGCTATAGAGAGCACATCACACCAGTTTTGGCCTCCCTGCACTGGCTACCCATTCACCTTCGGGTCCAATTCAAAACTCTCATGTACGTTTTTAAATCACTGAACAGTTCCGCCCCATCCTATCTCACTGATCTTCTGCAGCCATATGTCCCACCGCGCTCTCTGAGGTCAGCAGACCAGATGCTTCTCTCAGTCCCAGAAACCCGTCGTAAGCTCAGAGGTGACAGGGCTTTCTCTGTTGCAGGTCCACGACTGTGGAATGAGTTGCCACTGAGTGTCCGGCAGGCTCCCACACTCTCAGTCTTTAAGTCTCGCTTGAAGACCCACTTCTATTCTCTTGCCTTTAACACATTTTGATTTGTTTTGGTCTGGTCTGTTTTCTACTCTGTTGGCCATTTTAGTTAGCTTCTGCTGCTATTTGTATCTGTATTTCTATTTTATGTTTTCCTGTCCGCTGTGCATGTTTGTTTTCTTTTGTACAGCACTTTGGTTGGCCTTGTTGCTGTTTTAAGTGCTCTATAAATAAATTGGTATGGTATGGTATGGTATTGTTCCATATTTTCCTAACAGAGCACTTCGCTCTCAGGCTGCAGGTTTACTTGTGGTTCCTAGAATTTACAAAAACAGAATGGGAGGCAGATCTTTCAGTTATCAGGCTCCTCTCTTTTGGAACCAATTTCCAATCTCTGTCCGTGAGGCTGACACATCCAGTTTTAAAACTAGGATTAAGACTTTCCTTTTTGATAAATCCTATAGTTAGGGTCGGCTTGGGTTTCCTGAGCTATAGGCTTAGACTGCTGGAGGACAAACTGACCACAAATTTCACTCTACTACTGTCTTTACTTACTCTGCTCGACCTGTTTTGTATTTGTAATTATTTTTTCTATCCTTAACGTGTTTTTTTTTTTTTTTTGGTCTTTCAGATACACCTGGACCTATACCTGGACCTATATCTGGACCTGGACCTATATCTGGACCTACCATTCTGTGTTCGTCTGTCTCTCCTTCCTGTCCTCTCAAACCAGCCAGTCAAAGCAGATGGCTGCTTGTCCTGATCCTGGTTCTGCTGGAGGTTTCTTCCTGTTAAAGGGAGTTTTTCTTTCCACTGTCTCCACTGTGCTTGCTCAGGATGGGAGA